GTATATGACACTTCTTCTGAAACCGAAAGCCACCATATTAGATTTCAAGATGAGATCGGACATCGATTTCCGGCATCTACATATCACCCCGATTATAAAAGTACCCATATTGTGAGGTATTTGACACCGCCATGTTGGATTTCAAAATGGCATCGGGTATCGATCTCCGGCATCTACACGTCATCCCCGTTCTGAAAATACCCATATTATTGAGTATTGCAAACTTTTTGAACCCAATGGCCGGCATCTTGCATTCCGAAATGGTGTCGAACATCATTTTTCGGCATCTACCAGTCGTCCCCGCTCCGAAAATACCCATATTGTGGAGTATTTGACACTTTCTGAACATAATGACCACCTACTTGGATTTCAAAATGGCGTTGGACATCGCCTCTACACATCTTCCTTGTTCCAAAAATATCCATATTGCAGGACATTTTGCAGGTTCTAAAAAACCGATGGCCAAAATGGCATCGGTCTTCCATACATTTGACAGATAACATTTGTCAAATTGAACGCAAAGTATGAAAATCCACACAGATTCGCAAATCGTTGCGGATCGATGTTTTTAGAATTAGGGCGCTACTTCTTCGTAATCGCCCATTTTAAATTTTTGGTTCCCTAGTTTTGTACACGACTAACAATTGAAAAGGGATTATGCAAAAATGATACGCATCAATAGAAAAACATATATCTCACGAACGATTTGTTGGATTGAAATGGTGGCGCTGGCACTATAAAAAATAATTTTTATTTTTTACAAAAAAAAAACAAAATTATCAAACATTATTTTTATATATTTATATTGTAGTTTAAATATATTTGAAATAGTGTTAATATTAAAACACATTACATTTACAACAAAAAGGCTTATCATGCTTAAATTCCCTAAAGTCGTTATTTTCGCGATACTCGTAGGTTAAAATTCACTTATCGCATAATTTGAGCAATTTTCACCCTTTTGAGATGGTATTCGTGAGTGTCCAATCTAGAAAATATTTTTAAAGAAAAGTCCAATTAATTTCCTTAAACTTTGCAGTTCACACTACTTTTTCAAACAGACTTATCTGATGTAATCAAGGGCCTGACAGGTCGTATAAGTATTGTAGTCAGCATAAAAAGTATAACATGGCTGGTTTCCATGGTAACACATGCGCATGCATACGTTGACAGCCTGGGCCTACAGTCTGGGCCCGCGCTTATGTTGACTACTACCAGTTGTTGCTTGTAGAGATAGGGGTGTCAGTCCCGTGGATGTAATACGTTCGATCGTCGGTTTGACGGAACTGGGAGCTCGTCCGCGCATACTAAAACCACTATCAGATAGGAGCCAAGAAATGCCAAGACTGCTAACTGGGCTACTCTACTCTACTACTCTGGACATCACCCCGATTCCAAAAATACCCATATTGATGGGTATTTGACATTATTTCCCACTTTTATGAAACTGGAAGCCGCCATCTTGAATTCCAAAATGGTGTCAGATATCAATTTCCGGCCTCTGGACATCACCCCGACAGTATTTTCCACCTTCTATCAAACCGGAAGCCGCCATATTGGATTTCAAAATGTCGTCGGATAGAAATTTTCGGCCTCTGGACATCACCCCGATTCTAAAAATACCCATATTGATGGGTATTTGACAGTATTTCCCACTTTTATGAAACCGGAAGCCGCCATCTTGGATTTCAAAATGGTGTCAGATATCAATTTCCGGCCTCTGGACATCACCCCGACTCCTAAAATACCCATATTGATGGGTATTTGACAGTATTTTCCACCTTCTATCAAACCGGAAGCCGCCATATTGGATTTCAAAATGTCGTCGGATAGAAATTTTCGGCCTTTGGACATCACCCCGATTCTGAAAATACCCATATTGATGGGTATTTGACAGTATTTCCCACTTTTATGAAACCGGAAGCCGCCATCTTGGATTTCAAAATGGCGTTAGATATCGATTTCCGGCCTCTGGACATCATCCCGGTTCTGAATATACCCATTTTTAGGAGTTCATATTTGATATCAAACATCCCTATTCTAAACATAAACTGTTCGGAGTACTCCGGATACTATCCGGAGGGAAAAATAATGGATATTATCCCTATCCACTTTTTCTTTCCTCCGGATAATTTTAAAACTTTTCTATCCGGATAATTTTAACTTGGATATTATCCATTTTAAAATTATCCGGATAGGGATAGGGATAATATCCAATGATAGATTGGATAATGGATAATGGATAGGGATAATTTTGATGCCTGAGCACAACCCGCACTTAGTCTTGCTTAATCTAGCGCAGTTTAGCACCAAACGGAATGTTATTGTTACTGATGGCTTCCAAATTTATTTACCTTTCCGTATGTGCCGTAAAATTTGATAAAGAGAAACCAATCGTTGAGATATTGTCAAAAGTCTAACACTGCTTCTTGACGCCAAACTCGGCCTACGGATTCTTAACTCGGCCTAACGCATTGAAACGCCAATAAATTCACTTCGGCCTATCGGATGAAGATAAAAATGATTTGGTCGGAGCGCTTCTTTTGTTTTTGGGAATAATGGGTGCAAACCTTCATATCACGCTTTCTCATTGACTCCGTTTCGTACCTTATTAACTAAAGTATCGTACCAAACGCATAATTGACTTGTTAACTCTGAGATCATGGATTTATTTGAAGTTTTCTGCTCGATAGGCCCAAAATGGGCGATTAGGCCGAAGTAGTTCTCTACCCTATCTGTAACTGTATCCAATTCGTTTTGGTTTGCGAATCTGGTAAAGCCTGGTACGCAGCTGAAAAGAAAACGGAAAAGTAATTTTTGAGGATTTTTCCCAAAAGAAAATTTGACAGCTATAGTCTGCTAAATTTTGAGATTATAGGGAGATGTCGTCAAATTGTAAAATCAACACTTATTAGTGTTTATGTTGTTTAAATGCATCCAAAACATCAGTTTTGCAATAAACGCCAACATTACCTAACGGAATAATTGATCAGACCATTATTCCGCAAGGATAGTGAAATTGCATGCAGAATGCGCCACCTTCATGTCGATCACGATGCTAATCTTTCCTCTACCGATTTCTTTTGAACTGCGTACTGGGTCAAGAAATGCTAAAGGAAAATAATTTCTTTAGCATTCCGTGTCCTATCCCGTAGCACGTAAAAATGTCATTACTTTTCAGCTGCGTACCAGTCTTAAAGGGGTAAACGGTGGGACTATCATTATCATCATCATCAGTAGATCAAATTAGGTTACAACTTTTTTTATAAATTGAAATATATGATGTCATCATTATATTTAATAGAAATGCTCATGTTGTATTAATATTATTATTTTAATCATTGATACATACCAACCATATCTACCACAAATATTGGAACGTGTATCAGTAGCAGCGGATCAAGCATCTCGTAGCGCTGGACATGTTGTATAAAAAAAAGTTATTCCTCGTTAGTTTGACCCGCGTACTTGTCGAATTGTTGAGTGGACTGGTACTTCATTTGCCAACCTTTCTACATAGGTAAAAATGGGCATCCGCTAAGCAACCCGCGTCACGCCTAGTAAAATTCAGCAGAACTTGATCTTAGGTAAATACGTCTGAACCCAAACGTCATCCGCCAAATTAGTCATCATTTTTTTTTTTCAGTCGTTGAAAACCCCAATAACCGGTAAAAGTGTTAATAAGATTGACAAACATCAAACTGCTGGGAAGACTGCAACGAGAATATGTATACACGTAATCATAACAGGAACCGATGGAGATGGAGAGTGGTCCACGTCCAATGTGATGTAAACCGGTGACTCAATGTGATTTTGTCGTCTCTTTTGTTTCCCTGCTCTTTAAACGGGGTTGCCGGTGTGTGACTTCAAACTCCGTCTTGGTTTTTTTTTAAAGATCGAAAGAAACGGCAAATTCAGATTGCTTCATCTGTTTACAGAACATTGGAGCTTGTCAGCTATTCCATGGATGATGACGTGAAAAATTGCTCGTCCCGGGTTCTACGTAGTAGTGTGTAAACGTTTAAATTTGTGTTTGACAATCAACAAAAAAGGTGTTATTTGCTGTAAAGCAGTTCTGGCAAATTTGTGTGATCGATCAGGTTTCAACTGGTGATCCATTCCAATGGTATGGTTGTCATGCAATTATGTTCAATGACAAGTGGTTTGGCAAATGAAAATTACAATTCTCTTTAATCATGTTCAAGTTAGTGGAAAATTCCGAAAGACAATATTTTACCTACGCATCTTAGATTCCATGCTCATTAGCGAACCCCACACGTATCAATATATTGACAACAATATTGATGATGCGAACACAGAATTATTGTCAATACCGATGTATTGACGTCAATATAGAATGTATTGAAAATACGATTATTGTCAATAAAAGCAAACGTGTATGGTCCACTATAAATAAACATAAAAAAAAAATAGATTTCAACGATAGTCAATAGCGAAACATCCAAGCAGACGATAAACACTTCTAAAGACTGCAGAGCCAAACCTCGAAGACATGGCCACTCACAGTCGAATCAGCTTACAATAACAAAAAAAAAAAGCAAAAAAGCACTATCATCCGCTTATGTTTAACTAGCCAGATCGTAGCAGGCATTGACCGACATCAACCGCCGATCTCCGATGATGGCACGAGCGATCGTCGATTTTGTTTTGTTACTTTCTACTCATTCTACCATTCGTCGTCATGACGACGACGGGTGGCTCTCGTGCAAACGAAAACAACGCAAACTTCGATGCGAGAGCAGAGACGAACCCCCTCTGATCGGTTCACTCTCTCGCTCTCTGTTTTGTTGTGATTTTTCGCAATCTCGCCAAACCGGAGACCGCTAGCACCAGCCAACCAATCGCAGTGTTTTGTTTTCTACGGTCCAACCACAGTGGCGGTCATAAAAATCGATCAATAATCGCTGTTTAAAATGAAAGCGCTGCTTTAATCATTAATAAGGTAAATCAGTCACATCAGTTTCACTTTCGAATCCGCGTCAATTACTGTTGCTGAGTGTCTTGAGCTGTGTGTTTCCATTCATTTCCGCTTCCGAAGAGCGGGAGTTTTTCCGATCAATCGTAGCCGGTTTTTCATCCGGTTTGGACTCGAAGAACTCCCTCAGGGCAAAATTCGAAGGCAGCTCGATCAAAATGCAGAGGAGCGTTCCATACAACAGCATCCACATGAAGGTGGGCATCATGAACTCGAACTAAAATTGAATGGAAGTCAGTTAAAGCATATTTCCTGGTGTATTGAAATACTTACCACTCCCCTGACACTGAAGTGGATCGGTTGCTTGACTGAGCCCACAACCTGCACGATCACGGTCAGGTGGATCAGGTAGAAGCTGTAGCACAGCTTTCCGAGCACTACGAAGATCGGATGGCTGAAGAAGGATCGGAAGCGGGACCAACTGGCCGCGAGTGCTGTTCGTAGCTGGATCATGGTGCACAGTAAACCCCAGGCGTGCTTGAAACAGCTGTTGTAAATAGCCAGCAGGATCGGAGCGATCATGGATTGGTTCCGAACGACCCATGAGTCCGTAAAAGTGGTGAAGAAGTAAAGGAAAACGGTCAGCAGAAGCAGGCAGAATTGTAGGCTGCTAGTGTGGAACTCTTTGCGGGACTCCCGGAACCGATGATACACAAAACCAGCGATCATACCGGCGAAGTAAATTGTGATGTTCATGTGGAACGGTTCGTAGAGCTGGAAGTACTGGTGCCCAAAGTTGTACTCTTCGTAGAGTTTCAGATCTTCGGTCATGACCGGTGGGAGGTTGCGTGCGTAGGCCACGAGGATGGTGGTAAGGATGCCCCAGGCAAATCCTGCGCTAAGGATGTACTTTTTTAAAAACGGCCAGCGCCATATGACCATCAGGCATCCGAGTGCTAAGATGAAGAGTTGCATATCTGCAGCCAAGTACCATGTTTGAATGAGACACTGAAAGAAGAGTTGAGTGAATTTGATGTATAAAGAAAGGAGCGGATGCAGAGTTTTGAACTACCGGTTGATCCGTTCCGATGTAGTTGTTCAGGAAAAGCAGGTTATTCCACCACCTCTGGCGGCATCTTTCACGGGCATGTCCGATCATGTGGTGGGCAAGGGGTCCATTCATGAATCGACGGTTTATGGATGTTTCCAGCAGGAGGATGAACAGATAAGCGGGGATGATGCGGTACAGCCGAGCTCGGATCCGTTCCCAAAAGTATCGCGGATTGAACTGTGGGTTTTTGCGAATGTGCTCCAGGAAGTTGATAGTGAGCAGCATTCCAGAGATGGAGAAGAAAGTTTGCACGTAGTTTTGGAACTCTGCTATGTAGTGTATGATCAGCGGTTGGTGGAGCAAGTGCTCCAAATGCTCGGGGTTGTCCTTGGGAGCCTTGACCAATGCCAAAACGATGTGCAACGTGACGACTCGATGCATCTGGATGAAGCGGAATGACTCGAGGAAGGTTAACTCCTGGCGAATTCCTGAAGTAACTGGATCTTTCAGGCGGCGAATGTTTCGCGGTATAGAGAAGGAGGTAAACAGACGTTCACGACTCGTTTTGTGCTGTTTGGTAAAGTAGTTCTCCGGAAAGCGCTGGCTCGATTGGATCGATAGGTCAAAGCCAGTGGAGTAGCACACCAATGCGGCTAGTATGACGATGATTATCATGAAGAGTATTTCTAATGAATCTAAAAAAACGAAAGAGAGAGTTTAGTGCATGAACAGTTCTGTCGACGTAGTTTTTGCTATACCATAAGGAGGTATCTCGTTGTCTTTGCTGTAGCAGTGGTAAATTTGAACGTCGGGTTCGACCTGCAAACCGAAGTTCATTTTCAAGCGTTGGTTTATGACAGCTCGGAAAAGATCTGAGTAAGTATGACCCTCAAAGACGTCCCTCTGCAGTGATGATTCATAGTTTTGGACGCACATTCCGCGTTCCAAAACCCGATGATCATAATGGCGGCTGTCCTCGGAGTAGACCTGTTGGAAAACCGTAGCTGAATTCACACATCCCTCAATTGGAGATCCACATCCTACTCACGCTTATGTTCTTCCACAGCGGTGATCCATCATCCGGAACGATTCGAGCTCGCACTATGCAGTAGACATACTGCTCTCGATATTTGCTTCGACAGATTTCAAATTCATCGTATTCAAATAACCTAGGAAACTGACTATTGACAGAAACTGGAAATAACCAAAAAAAAAAATCCATTTCGAGGTCACATCCACATCCACAGAAACATCAAAACACAAACTTACAATCGGAACTATCTGCACATGTTCCTACAGCTATCCATCCAAAACCGATCACCAGCAGCAGCCACAGTCGATGATGCCAACTCATCTCGCCGAAAAGCATCATTTCCATTTCTATTTCTCTATTTTAAAGCAGCATTGGAAGCTCAGTCCATCGGCATGATAGATCTTGTTCCAATTGGTCTCACGCCTGCGTATCGTATCCTTGTGCTCAACAGGGCTGGTAACTGGTAACTGAATGCAATGTGAACAGAAAACAAATTAAATGGCCAAAAACTAAAAGGCAAGACTGCAACCGAAACAGATCTTCTCGGCAAGAGACTCAAACTTTGAATGAATACATATCGTTGTGTGATCTACACCGTTTGCGGTGACTGCTACTAGCGAGTGAGCTTATACTAAGTTATGAACTTGTTTTAACGATTGGAGCTGGTTTTTTTTGTGACTGGTGAAAAAGAGGCCCGGAAGATCAACGTTCACTGCTTCTTGCGAGTCATGGTCTCAACACCGGATTAGAAGAGCATCGAATTTAGCGGGGAATTTTCCGTTTGAAGAATGACTTGTGTGAGAATTCAGAACTGGGGAACTCTTCCCCAGATCAAAACAAAAACCGAACACACACAAAGCAAGCGTGATTCATGTTATGTTGACCTTACCTTTACCAGAGCTATTCGTCGCCATTCCGTTTGCCGTCATTAAGTGGAATTAATCCAATTCGCAGCTTTGTTTTCCTGAGCCGTTTTTAATTATTTCGGCAGATCCAAAATCCCTCTTGCGTGACCATTAATTTGTAATTGGAAGGTCACTGACATGCAGACGTGGAAAACGAAGGGTTGCGTGGCGCGGATAAAATATATATAGGGGAATTTACGTATTCTCGTCAATCTAAGCAGCGTCCGCACTTCTATTAGCATTTTCACAGCGTCACGCACATATATGACGTGTCTGTTTGTTTCAATTCATCTGCTGCTTGCTTCTCTATCCATTCCAATCGACAGAATTCTTCAAAACTGTTTGAAAGCGTTTTTACAACGCTCTAAACTTCTCAGGTGAGTGTGACTATTGTCGGCAGCCTCTTTTTCTTCGGCAACCTTCCCATTAGAACTGCGTGTTAACCAGCTGTTCTATTATCGGCAACTCGAAATCAGCCCCATTTTGTATTACGTATGCTTCATTTGAAGAAAAATCTGGCATAACAGGATTGCTCGGTCCTACAAATATAATCAGATTGAAGCTGAAAGACTAAAGAATCATTTGGATACATTCAGGGAAGTGCGTTGATGGTAAAACATAGTGAAATTAACGTTTAAATTTTGATTGCCGAAAACAGTCAATGGGTGCCGAAGCCGACATTTACCCTATATATATATATATATATATATATATATATATATATATAATTCGCGTCAGCATGTCAGCGACCAAAGTCGAATTAACTTTATGACCGATGAAAGATCACAAAGACCCAACAGCTCAGTACATCATACCTCATTCCGTTGAATACTGTTTAACGCCCAAAAGGCTAGCCTCCGGAATTACTCAATATTTAAGTAACATTTGCCCATGATTTAAAAGTTTAATATTTTCCCATTTCCTCTCTTTTCCACAGGTAAGTTTATCCGCAACCCCAAAGGCCGTACGTTCAACACCACATTGTAAGCAAACATGTGTTGGTATCGGTTACTCAGTGTTTAATAGCCGCGGTTTTTGCCAAAATGGATGAAGTCTCAACGACCATGCAGAAAACGGATTTGGATTGAGCTGTTCAATAAATCATTAAACGCGCAACATGCTATCCTTGAGCCAATCAGGTGTTATCTAGCACCCTCAACGACAAACACCATTTCAGGAAACGTTTCTGTAGCCGAGGTTATTAATCGATTAATGCACATGGGCCCTTGCGCATTATTCGGCTCTAATTGTTTGCGAATTTGACGGTTTGATTCTCGCACATTTACAAATCGAATTCGTCGCAGTTCCCATCGCATCGGCTAACCAGCTAGGAAGTTGTCCAGTATGTAACCGGTTTGTTTATATGGTCGAGTCGTAGCTAATAATAGAAATTAACCGGTGGAAACCGCTTCTACCAGCAGTCACATGTAGGAGGCCACCTTCCTTGGGCTTTGTAGTTTTTAATCTGAAAATGTCTGCTCGATACCTGGAAAAGCGGATAATTTTTGCGCATCCGCTGGTACTACCCGGTTTGCAGATAAAAGCGAAGTGAATCAACGGGTTTTCCCATACTGCAAGGACTGCTTGACTACCATGGAGTGGGCTGCCATCTGTAAACAAATGCTAGAACTAGCAGCTTTTGAAATAGTTAATTGATAAAGGCGATTTGATTTTGAATAAACATAGGCACTCGAAAATGTGTGTGGCCGTTTGATGGATGGAAGACTCATAAATAGATAATCAGGTTTCCATGTAGGGCAAAGCGTATCGTAAAATTTCAGAAAACGATTGTACACTCCAAAACTTGATCGACGAAATAGTCGTTTCTAAAAAAAAATATTGGTGTTCTTTTGCAAATACCTGATTTTTCTTGTTTCTCTAAAATCGCCCGGTACCATTTAGTACGTTAGAGTGCATGTTAAACCTGTTCTTTAACATACCAAGGACATCAGGTGAGCACGAAACCAGATGAACATATTCAGTTAGCCAGTGTCTGTATTTATCAATCACCACCATACATGGTGACGGCGAGCCCCCCTGGAAATCCTGAAAATAAAAGGAAGACAAAAAACATCATAGGTACCTAATGAATAACACACAGTGCCTGTATTTATCATTTACCGTCACACGCAAGGAGTACCGCTTCAACCCGGTATAGATGAATTGCGTTTGTTTTGAAAATCTTCGCTGTTACGTACACGGCCAATCATACCAACTCAGCGACTGAGAATAATTGACTCAGCTAATTTTCTTTCCATACGAAATTTACTCAGATTTGGAAGAAACTGCAGTTACTCATAAGCTATGAGTAACTGCAGTTTCTTCCAAATCTGAGTAAATTTCGTGTGGAAAGAAAATTATCTAAGTCAATTATTCTCAGTCGATGAGTTAGTATGATTGGCCGTGTACGAGCGAAATCCGGAGAACTTTGAGATTTGCTTTTGTAAACAAACACATCAATCTCGCGAATAAAAGAACAATCTCGCGAACAAACTCTACCATATGATAGAGGAACCATTCTTTTTCCAGTTATTAGTTTTTGAGATTGAGCTTTAATTCGCGAAAAATCGGCAAATGACGTGTTTGTTTACAAAAGCAATTACGCCCTAATCTCGAAGTTCTCAGGAAATGAACAAATCGACAGTGAGCATGCATAAGGGCCTATACGCGATGATCGATTCTCTTCGTCGATTTTCTTTTTTGTTAATAACTCGCTAGATTTAACGTTTCTCGGAGCGTTTGCTGTTGCTTTTGATAGCCAATACAACCTGTTACTACTCTGCATTGAACAAATTCTTGAAAATTGTTTCGCTTAGCTGTAGCAATGCAAAGAGAAAATCGATGAAGAGAATCGATCATCGCGTATTCGCCCTTATGAATGCTCACTGTCGAAATGAGTTTGTTGATATTCTCCAGTGCTTGATTATCCAACTCAAAATTGTCAAAATCAGAAATGATCCTCAAAAGCAAAATAGTCAAATTCATTTTGGGCAAAATGATTATTTTGAAAATCGTTGGTTCCAGAGCCTAAAACCGGAATTGTATCATCAGTTCAGCATGGTGTAATAATTTGCCATCGGTTTGTACTGTTTCTCAGAGTCTTAAACTATGTTAATCATCGATCGAGTTTCCTGTTGCTGCAATTACGGCCTCCACACGCTTCCGGAATGCACGGCAGGTTCTAATAATGTAGTCTGGATCCATTTATCTCCAGGTACGGGTCAATGATTGTCTGAGGGTTGCTGTACTCGGGTGGCGTTTCGACCAGGCCTTGGCCTTTATGACGCGCCATATTGAGTAATTCAGCGGATTAAGATCATATCCTTCGCCCAGAACGGAAGTTGTTCCTGCAACCTCTTCTGAGTGCGGTTCGAGGTGTGGCACGGAGCCCCATCTTGTTGAAATACAACATTTGGCTTCGGACCGTACTGTTCTTTGATCCACGGAAGAAAATACTTACTAAAAATCCCGATCTTCCGTGCCGTAAAGTTACTGATCCCGTGTTCCTTTGCCATTTTCCTTATTGAACGCACTGGATTCACCCGAATCTTCCTTTTGATAGCAGCGATAACCCTCGGAACCCGAGATGAACCTCGGACGTCCTGTGGCCAGCTTCGCGGATAGTTGTCCTTTCTTTTCTCGGTCTAAAACCCTTTTGACGGTCCACCGGGACACTCCCACGGCGATTGAAATGTCTTTTTGCGACATTTGCGCGTGGGACAAATCACGAATACGCTGCTACTTCGTCATGGTGCAACTGTCAAACTAAGTAAATCATTTTCTTTTATACACAGCCTACTACCAACCGGTGGAAACTAACAATTTAAAATTGGCTCGCACTAAGCTAGCCTATCGGTCCCAAGTATATCGATTAACGTACCCCATTCTAACCGAAATTCTAGTACTACACTCTGTTTGTTTTGATTCGCTATGTAAGTTTGACAGATAAAATGAGGGGTTCGTGGATTTTCCCATGTTTCGAGGGGTGCATCGATTAGCTTGGGACCGAAGAGAGTACCAGAGCTGAGCCAAACAGTTGAGCCCGTTTCTTTGGGACCTTCTGGTCTTAGAGTTACCTCTATGCTACTACGGTATGAGCTATAGGTTACGTGCATGCAAAGAAAACCAGGGCACTGTATGCACAGGTGAAACGGGAGCCTTATTTGTACGATGGTGCAAACATTATCACGCATAAGGTATGTAAAAATTAATACGAAACGCCCTTCAGCGCTATATTTGTGTACAATGAAAATAATCATTTTGCATTTGATCCTCAAAATCATACCCACCAAGATGAAGACGAATATTAATATTGACAACAACGGAGGCGATAATGAACATCCACTTTTTTCTTACCGTGTACGATACTCAGAGGTTGCCTTGATCAAGAGAATGTTGTTATGTCAAAATTTAGACTCATGCAAGTAGTTGATCTATCTG